GTTGATTTAAAACTTTGTTTTATTTTTTTTTATTTATTGTGACATTGTACCATAGGATGTAAATATTGCTGAAACTCCTCCTTCATCAGTGCTTATAATATAAGGGTTTAATTTGCCACAAAGGTCACACTAGAGCATCTCTTTCATTTCCCTGGGGTTTTTTTTAACTTCATTTTTTAAAATTTTATTCAGAAGGTTAAAATACAAAATATGTTCAACTAGGGGTGATAATATGTGTTTTGGCTTTTTGACCACTTTGTTAGGTTTCTTTTTTTACATTGCATGCATCTTGAAAATAGCTGTGAATTTTCCCACAGCAAAAGCAATATTGCTTTGGGATAATATATAAATCCAAACCTAGTTCTTTGAGAAAAAAATATCAATATGGATATAATACAATAGTAACTTTTAGAATAGAATAGCAATAATAACTTTATTGCCACTTTGAATGTACGCTAATCGGCATATGTTAAAGTGAAATTTCATTGCATAGTTTCAAAGGATATACAGTACATAATATAACTGAATAAATAAATACAGATAAACAGAATAGAATAGAGTACAGTAGAATTCTTTATTGTCCAAGTGTGATTGGATACACAAGGAATTTGTAAATACAGAATTATGCATATACCCATGTATATTATATGTCACAAATTATATTGCTGTTGCTATTATTTATTTAAATTTATTGGACTCCCAACGCCTGTGGATTCTGTAAGAAATGCTGCTACTAATAACATATTTAAAAAAAAATATTTAATGGTAATTCTTGAGGAAGTCTCCTTTACACAAAAGATTGCATCTCTCCTCTTCCTAGCTCTACAGCTCCACTTCCTATTTCACCGCCCACGTTAAAGATGGCCGAACGAACAACTTCCGCCCCGAAGCTGCCGTTTCCAATGAGCGGAAAGCTTTCTTAAAGGAACGCCCTCCTTTTTCCGCTTTCTGCGAAGCGCATGCGCGAAGGCGGGCTGCTTTTTGGGGGGCACCAGAGTGGGCTCCTTGAGGGGCGACGATGGCGGCGGGGTGCCGGGGGGGATGTTGCGGGTGCTGCTGCTGCTGTGGGGAAAGAGAGAGCCGCACCCCGGAAGAGCTGGTGAGGGTTGGGCTGGGAGGGGCTTCCTTTGTTGGACCCCCCCCTTTTCAGTATATTTTGGGGGGGAGGGGGGCCTCATCATATTTGCATATGCAAATTAGGCTGGGTGTGGTAGCAATTTTTTTTTTTTTTGCTCTTACCTCACAGCAAAGTGGAGAGGGCACCTCTGAGCACGTACAGAGTGCCATTGCTGAACCAAGAGGTTCAAAATTCAAAATGCGCTGCCAAGTTTTCTGAGAAGGTTTGGAAGGGGAGGAGAAATAATCATAATTAAAAAAAAAGAAAACAATTTTTTTTTGTGACACAAGAGAACCACAGAAATAAAAAAAACCCTTTAAATTGAAAGAACAAAAACTTAAAAATGAAAACAGAAGTCTTGCCTCTTTGGCGTGGCAACGACTTCAGTTAAGGTGCCTGGGTGTTTCCCAAGGCACTTCATGCAAAAATCTTGGCTTTTTCATTTTCATTTTTTAATTGATTTATTTTTTCTTGGATGTTGGTCGGTTATGAATATAGCTGGTTTGCCTTTTATCATATTGACCTGTTGGTTTATTTATTTATTTATTTTGCAGACTATCCTTGGGGAGACAGAGGATGAAGACGACGAAATTCTGCCCCGTAAAGACTATGAGGTGAAATGCCTCCCCCCCCCCAAAAAAAAAAATTAGCTTAATTTGTTAGGAAGAACATGAAGCATTGCAGAAAAAAAAGATGTTGCTGGGAGTTTTCTGCTTCTGCACAAAGAAATTTTGAAATAATAGAAAATACTTGTACCTCGGGTTTTAGATTTTGGCTTTTGGTTTGCTCTCCAAGTTTGTTTCCGTTTCTTGAACGTTTTGTTGACTGTAATCCTGCTGCTGATGTTTACCTAGTTTGGTAATGAACTGTGCAGAAACTAAATTGAAACGAGCTTGGAGAGGAAGGCCCTGCCCAAAACCATAAAGAAATCTCAGGATTGTAGGCAGGACAACACAGCCTGGAAGAATGGCAAGTTTCTTTGTGTACGGCTGGAAAGAAAATGGCTTGGACAAGAAGGTTGAGTCACCATAAAGTGCTTTTAGGATGGCATTTTCAGCTACACCAGAGAGGGGGGGTTTAGTTACATAGCAGCCAACTTCTTGCAGCACTCAAAATTGGGGTTGATCAGTTAGTTTATCATAGGACTAGCTCGATACCCGTGCTTCACTGTGAAACTATGTGGTCGGGCTTAGTTTTGGGGGAGGAAAATAAGGGGAAAAATTCTGCCTCTGCCAACCAGCATCCACCGGTATTCATCTGGCTAGTGTCCTGTCAGTGTGTGAGAGAGTTGAGGGCTGTTTGGAAACTGAAATAGTATTTACTGTGTGAGCAGGAAGGAGACAGCAAGGAGCCTGGGAGTGGCTTAGCTCAACTGTTCTGTGCTAAAGCTGCTTGGTGCTGTGAAACTGAAACTCCTCTGTGTTTTGCATTTGGAACAGATCCTTTTTCAGGTGGGGAGGGGAAGTAGAAATCCTTAGCAACAGAGCGTGGGAATAATAATAATAATAATATACGAAATATTAATGGCTCTGATGGTCATTTTGAAAAATCCTTTTTTAGCACCTAGAAGCCAAGAGGAACATATGTGCCAAATTTCAAGTTTGTAGGCTTTACGGTTCTGGGGATTTTGTGATGATGCGTGGAGTGGTATTTTGCTTTTATACGTGTGTGTATATATATATATATATATATATATATATGTATGTATGTATGTATGCATATGTATGTATATAGATTAAGATTATTATTATGGAGTTTGTCATATAGTCCTCGACTTAGGACTTCAATTGAGACCCAGATTTTTGTCGTTAAGCAAAACATTTGTTAATTGAGTTTTGTTCCAATTGTTCAGTGAATCTGTTTTTTTCCCCATTGACTTTGCTTGTCGGAAAGTTGCAAAAGGGGATCACGTGACCCCAGAATATTGCAGCTCTCATGAAAGTGAGTCAGTTGCCAAGCCTCTGAATGTCGGATCCCTTGAACGTGGGTGGGAATGCTGCCAGGGTCGTAAGTGTGGAAAACGGCTGTAAGTCCCCATGTTCAGTGCTGCTGTAGCTTCGAAAGTCACTAGATGAACTGTTGTAAGTCGGGGACTACCCTGTAGTGTGATGTGTGGATCCAGCTAGCACATTAAATGCCTTTTTTGCTTTAAAGTTGGCTATAGCCTGCTTGTCTCTCTGAAAAGATTGACATTTCATTTCTCCCCTCCAGAGTTTGGATTATGATCGGTGCCTCAATGAGCCATACTTGGAAGTCCTAGAAAGTCTCGATAACAAGGTAAGACGTAACGGGAGTCTTGATCGCGGTGGGTCATAAGTTTTAAGAAATCACATTGTGGAAGGGGATCCCTTGCGTGGCTGGGGATAGAGGAATATTTGAATTGCCTTCAAAGCGTGTTGACGTCACTGTGAGAGGCACTCTACGTGTCAAATCCATGCTTCCCTCCATATTCTCCATCCAGGGGGTAGGTAAAGAGCAGGAGTAATTACGGGTAGTCTTCAACTTACGACAACGATTGAGTTTTGTTGCTAAGTGAGACATTTGTTAAATGAATGTTGCGACTTTTCTTGACTCCGTTGTTAGGTGAATACTGCAGTTCTTAAGTTAATAATATGGTTGTTAAGTGAATCTGGCCTGCTCATAGACTTTGCTCGTCAGAAGGTTGCAAAAGGCGGATCGTGTGATCCCGGGATGCTGCAGCTGTCATAAGTACGAGTCCGTTGCCAAGCGCCTGAATTTTGATCCCATGATTGGGAGATGTTGCAACTGTCATAAGTACGAGTCAGTTGCCAAGCACCTGAATGATTGTGGAAATGTTGCAACTGTCATAAGTACG